CTAGATGATAGGTGCTCTTAACAGTAAACAACCCGCTCTTCTCTGGAAACCAAGCCAGAAAGTCCTGGCTTTGTCGTGGCGACGTTCGGATCTTGATGATTTCGCGGATGTCCATATCCCAGAAGTATTGCCGTAACATCTGCATATTCCATGCACCTGCCTCATCAAGGAAGTCCGCAACCCAATTATATCTGCAGTTCCTCTTCGGGGTGATCGGTTTGAAGTCATACCTCCTCGGGATCCAAGGATCCCTCCAAGTCTTGATTAGCGATCCATCACCCACCCGCCATATAAGACCCTTCTTCAACAGCTCAAGTCCAAACATAATTCCCTTCCACACAGCCGACGAGCTAGATGGGAAAACTGTATCGAGCAGATTCCCATTGGGATAATATTTCGCCTGGAGTAGGCGTGCACATAAGCTGTCCGGGCTATCGAGCAATCTCCATGCTTGCTTTGCAAGTAATGCCTGGTTAAAAGCCCTCATATCTCTGAATCCCATGCCTCCCATGTCCTTGGGCAGAATCATTTTCTCCCAACTAAGCCAAGCCATTTTCCTCTTGCCTTGTTCAACTCCCCACCAGTACTGTCTCATCATATGTGTTAGATCATCACACACAGAAGCCGGTAGCCGAAAAACACTCATAACATACATGGGGATTGCTTTTGCCACCGCCTTGATCAAGATTTCTTTATTCCCCGATGAGACATATTGCTCACTCCAATCAATTAATCTCTTCCTCAGTCTTTCCTGTAGTGATTCAAATTGCCCCTTATGCACTCTACCTTCCGGAACCGGAAGACCAAGATACTTTGGCTCAAACACCTGTTGCGTAACCTCAAGTGTGCTCTTGATTTCATCTACCTCCACAGTCGAGCAATTGTCTGAAAAAAGAATGGAACACTTCTCTGGGTTAATGAGCTGACCTGTTGCTGAAGTATAAGTGTTCAACAGTCCCTTGACAATGCTCGCTTGCTGGCCAGACGCTTCAAACATCAACATAGTATCATCCGCAAAAAGTAGGTGAGAAATAACTGGTGCACCACGACAGATAGACACACCCTTCAGGGGCCCTTCCTCCACTGATTTTGAGAATAAAGCAGATAGGGCATCAGCAACAAAAATAAATAAGAACGGTGATAAAGGGTCACCTTGCCTCAGTCCTCTAGAAGGGATAAAACTCTCAAGCAGTTGTCCATTGAATTTGACAGAATATTTGACTGACTTGACACAAACCATAATCCACGAGATCCACTGTTGGGCAAAGCCCCATTTGCCAAGAGCTTTCTCCAGAAAGTCCCAATCAACACGATCATATGCCTTCGATAAATCAAGCTTGTAAGCACACGCTGCTTGCCTGTTCTGTTTCAATGATTGTATATGATGAAGGCATTCAAAAGCAACTATAGAATTGTCAGAGATAAGCCTCCCTGGGACAAAGGCACTCTGATTTTCTGATATTAACTCCGCAAGAATCGGCCTTAGCCTGTTCACCAAGCACTTTGAAACAATCTTATAGATAACATTGCATAGGCTTATCGGTCTAAAATCTTCGAGTTACATGCGGCAAATTATCTGTTCTTTGTTTTATACAGGCAAGCAACATCTGGAAACCTTGCAGATGTTTAAAACCCTTCTGAATTCATGCCGCAAATCATGTACTGAAGTATCCACCATGCGGTAAATGAGCCTACTTTGGTGCTACACACAATTGTGTCTATGCTGATAGGCACAGTTATGGATGTTGTGTCTGCCAGTTTAAGAT